CGCTCCTCTAATTCAGGGAAAATGCAAAACGTGCAGAATCCACTGACAGTGGGAAAAACCCACGGCCAGTGGATCGTGACAAGGGCCCAATACTCATTTTCCAGTGAAGTCCACGACCAGTGGGAAAAACCCACGGTCATTGGATCGTGACAGGGGCCCAATACTCATTTTTCAGTGAAGTCCATGGCCAGTGGGAAAAACCCACGACCAGTGGATCGTGACAGGGGCCCAATGCTCATTTTCCAGTGAAGTCCACGGCCAGTGGAAAAAACCCATTGCCAGTGGATTTGTTTTACGTCACAGTGCCATTTTTCAATGAAGTCCACAGTCAGTGGGAAAAACCCACTGCCAGTGGATTTCACTTAACTTCACCCAAAATGCTCTTTAACAATGTTTTAAGGCCCTGAAGTGTTTTTTTCTCTTTTCTTTTACAATGCAATCCAAGGTTTTATTTTTGTGCTTTTAGTGGCTTGAATTCCTTTCCATCCAATGCTTTATCAAATGCTTCTCGTTTCCAAGTTTATAAACCTATAACAAAGCTATTCCTGCAAAACTGAGACACCCAAATAACATGTGTGGAATGAAGGAAAATAATTGGAATTAAGGGGCATTCTAAAACAAATAAACTAGAAAACTCAAATAAAGCGCCATTAAAAATGATGCAAACTAGACACTTATCAGGACACAAATGGAATTTTGAAAAAGATTAGGGGTAAAATAGTCATTTCACATCTTAGGGACATAAATGGAATTTTGAAAAAGATCAAGGGTAAAATAGTCATTTCACATCTTAGGGACATGGATGAAATTATAGGGAATGTTCAAGGGCAAATGGTCATTTTACAACCTAGGGACATAAATGAAATTTTGAAAAAGGTTAAGGGTATAATCGAGATAAAGTCAAACAGTATATTACCCCCTCTTTGTTTACTAGGAAAACGACTCAGTAAACGTTAGTATTTAAGGATAGTGCCTTCATCAAAGTTGTAGGTTATTGTCTTATCTTTCCAACACAATTGGAATCATCTTAAAAGGAGGTATAGAACTCAAGATATGGACAAAACACTGAACCCTACGAAATAAATTATTAATAGAAATTGTCTTGCTTAAAACAACTATGAATTGTAATTGAAATTTGTAATATATGAAGGAGATGTTTTTAAGTACTTAATTGATGATAAATAGTTTTGTTTCACACAAGACATAAACATAGTGCATGAAATGTTTTCTGCAAGTCACATAAAAGTTTTTACAGAAAAGTATTTGGAAATTTCTCTTAAGTTGTTACTAAGGACGGTTGGTAGTAATAATGATGTGCAAAACAAAATTTTGAAAATATTTTGGTGAGTCAATTTACTATCAAGAGCATCTGGTAGTGAAATATGACTATGAAAATGGGCGGCCAAATGAGACAGAGAATGTATGAGAATGAATTATTAAGAATCGAGCTACCAGAATCTCTAATAGTAAATGGGGGAGTAGAATAGGTAAGATAGGACCTCTGGTCTATGGGGATGGACCTATGGTCTAGGGAGTGTTTGGGCATGGGCAATTCCATAAATGGCCAGTCTTTATTTGATTCTGTGTCGTGGTAGCCTGTCGGGTGCACTAACACTCCGATTAATGTCTACTTGTTCGCGTAGTGGGGCATTGCCGAATCACCGGACAGGGTGACGTTAAGCTCTGGTTCCACTAGACACTCAAATGAGTATCCATGGAGCACTGAGTCAAAAAAATAATTTTTTTAGATTTTGAGTCAAAAGCATGATTTTAAAGTTTTACGTTTTGAGTCACATGTGCATATCATAAACATATTGCATGATGAAATTGTAGATTATTCATGATTTGTATGATATTCTCTATTATGATTCCAGGATTGATTTATTTGTTTCTCATAATTAATTTTCAAATTAAATTATATATGGTTGTATATTTATATGCAGTTATGAACTTATTAGAAGGAATGTTTCATTGGTTGATTTTATTGTATGAATGTTTGTTTTATTTGCTGTGAATAAAATTAAATGTCTAACCCCATAAATATTTCAATCCCAAATGTTGGTGACGTGTGATGCAGGAATATATAGTTCAAGAGATAAATGTCACATGCAAAAATCCAGAGCTTAGGTTGGGAATTGTATAACATATAAGTATAAGTTTATGACTTGTAATATTTTGAAAACTTTGTACTAGAACTTGTTGCTTGATTTAATATAAAACTTTACCTAAATTAATTGTTCACTTGGTATATTTTCTATTAAGCTTCCATGAATAATTGAAAATATTACTAACTTAGATAATAAATGAGGATTAATAAATGTAATCTATAAGGGGGTTACAATAATACAACCTATTAATTGAAGTGCCTGTAAGAATCCCTAAAGAAGTGCAATTGTGTGGAATTAAAAAAAGTTTAGGAGATGCATATTGAAAATACGTTCCTTCCTCATTTGTTGTGATTTGCCCATTTGCAAACACTACTGCTGCAAGATAAGAGTTATCAAAACTTTTAGTATTTGTGATGCCAAGTTCCTCCATTTGAAGAGTAAAAAGAAGAATAACACAGGTTGGATATGAGTGTTGAAAGGCAAGATGAGTGGGAGAATTTTTTATGAGACCAAACCTGATTTTATATATGTCATTTACTATATTATGTAGATGAAAATGCCCCCATTATAAAATTAGTGTACTTTTTATTTTGAGCTAGGCTTTGGACAACGTAATGGTGACTTGACTTTGACATTGGACGGTGTGTGTTAAATATGGATAGTTGATTTTTGAGAATTCAATTTTGACCATTACTTTTTTGTTGACACCTTGAACAGTATATAGTATAAAGGAATCTTATCCTGAACAATATTTCGAGGTTGGTCTTGGACAATGTACATATTGGAAAGTGTGTGTTAAACGTGGATCATCGATTTTTGAAGATTCAATTTTGACTATTACTTTTTCTTAACATCAAGTTAGTTCATTAATTATGATGATACTTGTTTCACTTTTAATATTAGATAATTATATATAAATATTTAATAAAATAATATTTAGTAATTTGTCTTGTTATTTGAAATTTAGTTCATTTTTGTTATATTTTAAGAAATTGATAAAGTTGGATACTTGAAAATAACATTTAAATAAAAAAAAGTACAGTTAAAATAAATTACAAAAAAGTTAATATGTGCTACAGAAAAAGTTAAAGTACAATTATTATGCATTATATAAAAGTTATTACCCATTATAGAAAAGTTAAAATAGCCTTCATAATCGTGACCAATTTCATAATGAGGACGTCGTCTATTACGTCGTGAATTTCTTCTCTGATATTCTTCTTGGAGTGATCCTTGTTGCGGTGGTGATTGTTGTAGTGGTTGCTATTCAAGTGGTTCATGGGGAAGGAAGATAGAGGAATTAGTTCTTTCATGATGATACTATGGTGGGTAGATTGATTGCATATAATCATGGACAAATGAGAGTGTTATAGAATTTTCTCCAAATAAATTTGAGAAAAAATCATCTAAACTTGAAGCAAAAGAAAGTCGAGTAGGATCGGTTATGCTAGAGGTGTCCAGTAGGAAGTACTTGTGAACGGTTGGTGTGGATGCATCTAAAATGATGGTGTAGTGGATGAGATAATTTCAAATGTGTGTGCACATTGCTGGTTTCTTGGATCTTGAAGTAGTTCTGGCACAGACAATAAATAAATAGAATTGGTAGTGTACCATTCTATGTATTCTCTCATATGATAGAAAGACCCTTACAATGGTAGACTTAGTACAAGATATCGTCTGTTGTTCCATATATTGATCCATTCGGAATGCCTTATTTTCCAAATTTCATCAGGTTTCCCCCACATGTCAATTTTTTGCAAGTTGTCTAGATTTTGCGGTGGGGAGGGACTTCCTAAGATAAACCAAATTGAAACATGACTCAGTCAGACTGATGTCACTCCACAATTGCAAAACAAATTATGGTTGTGCAAGATGTCCACAAATGTGAAACTCGATATGCTTGTGTCAGTATTATTGATGTTTCTAACCCTTGATATGGTTCTCATAAAAACTATAATGAAGTTATGAGTAAGTAGTTAGTAAAATTAATTTAAAATATATATTTAATAATAAAAGTGTTAACCAAGTTCACCTGGTGAGGTTGAATATGATCAATCCTTACTCGGTACCCAACCAGATCAATGTGTGGTATATTCTAAAAGTTTAAAACTCTATTCCCACTCCATTTGCACACTAATTGATACATTGGTTGTAAGTGGCTAATTGGTGCAATATGTGGCATGCGATGCCATGCCCATGATTATAATAGTGAAGCATAACCTCCCATTGTTTTTGTTCTGACATCAGTTGCTTTACACATTTCCTTATACAAAATAGCTAAATACTCAGAACCCCAACTATATCGCTTGGTTCTACGTAAGTTAGTCAATAATTATAAATACATGAGGTGTAGTTACCTATTTTGTCAGGCATCAAAACACCTTCGATTAACCTTAATATATATGCCCTAGCATGGACATGTAGTTGGTGCTCTAATGGTTCCTCTAGTAATGGCAACATGTTATCTCTTGGTCATTTCAATTTAACCATTCCTCCAATGAGTGTTTCACTTTTTATTGGCACGATTCCCAAGTACATTGGTTGGGTTGAGATATGTATAACCTACCATCGAGGTAATTCTTATATTCCTAACCAATACTAAGATCAACACCATAACTCAAAAATACAACTCACAACACAAATATTTAATTTTAACAACACTTATTTAGGGGAATGGGAAGTTGATGTACAATCATACAGCCAACTTCTAACTTATCCATCTACATCAAATGTTTTTCCCTCCCTCACCCATGCAATCACAACACCATTATCTTCTTTTTTACCCGAAAATGAGTTCTTTCAGCATCTTTATAACCTTTTAGTGATGATGAGGATGATATCCTCACACAACATGAAGATGAGGATGTTGATAACTTAGAGGCTTCCCCATACAACAATAATCCCAACATCATTCACCTCATCCATACATCCCTCCCCAACATTTTGAAACCTATACCACACTTCCTTATGAACAAAATACTGAATTTAGTCATGTATTTAACCATGAATCAATGGAACATCCACCTGGATCATTATTTAAGGGAATGCAGTTCCAAAATAAGGAAGAAGTAGTTGACGCACTTAACAGGCTCCACATAATGAATCATTGTACCTACAAAGTTACACATTCCAACACCACCAAATTAAGAGTGCAGTGTGTTGAGAATCGTTGTAATTGAAAGTGTCAAGCAATCTTGCGCACCAAAGAACAATTTTAGGATATCCGAAAGATAGAAAGAATCAACACATGTGTTATGCTTTTGATATCAAAATATCACAATAAGTTGGGGTCATGCATAATTTCATAACATATTCGTGAAATTATGGACGCAGACCCTTCTACCCTTATTGCAACTATTATTGCTCATATCAAGTCCTCAGTTGGATACACGGTGACATAGAAAGGCTTGGTTGACAAAGCAACAAACAATTGAAAATATTTATGACAATTGGAAAGAATCATTCAACAAATTGTCTAGTCTATTACAAGTCATGTCACAATATCTTCCTGGTTTCTATTACCAATTGACCACACAACAACTATCTTTTGGCGAGGATAAGATATACTTTAAAAGACTATTCTGGACCTTTAAGTCATGCATTAATGACTTTCGATATTACAAACCACTAGTCCAAGTGGATGAGACATTTTTCTATGGAAAATATAGGGGTACCCTACTATTTGTTGCACAAGACAAAAAGAACAACATACTCCTTATTGATTTTGCGATTGTTGAAGGTGAAACTATAGATGCTTATTTTTTTTCTTAAAAAACCTAAGGAGTGGATGGATTGAGGGTAATTGTATGCATGTATATTGCATTTAACACATTGCACAAAATTTTATGAGAAGATTCAAGAACGCAACTCTAAAAAAATACCTTATCAATATAGGTAAAAACTTTTATTTTATCTAAACTATTTTACTATGTTATCTTGTCTATTCTATATTAATTCTTATTACTTCAATATGCAACATACGTAATGATTGAGCCAAGAGCAAACTTCTACTACAACATCATAAGACAAGTCAATCCAGAAGCAACAACCTGGATTAACAAAATTCCTAGGAACTAATGGGCACTTTCTTATGATGATAGTAGAATATGGGGACACCTAGCAACCAACTTAGTTGAATCCATCAATTCAGTCCTAAAGTAAACAAGGAATTTTCCAATCTTTTCCATGGTCATTGTCATATACACAAGATGCAACAAATTTTTCACAAAAAGAGGGAGACAAATCACAACAATGATTAATATTGGTCATGTTCATTCATAAGTTGCATCAAATGTCTTACAAGATGCTTATACAAAATCAAACACTCATAAGATGCTTGAATTCGATAGAAGCAACACAAGATTCTTGGTAGAGGAGATTGTCAATCCAAGAGAAGTTCGACCCACTGATAATTTTGTTGTTAGACTAGATGAAGCTTGGTATGATTGTGAAAAGTTCCAAAAACTTCATTTGACATGTTCTCAAGTGGTTATAGCCTACAAACATATTTACCATGATTACAAGATGTACATCAATCCTGTTTACAGGTTGGATGTAGTTAACAAAGTATATGATAATTTGTTTGGCGAGCTTAGACACGAAGATTATTGATCATCACATCAAGGCCCACAACTTTGTCCCACTCTAGCAACAAGAAAAAGTTCCAAGAGTCGTCTAGAGTCAACACAAATTAGGACTGAAATGGATATCCACAAAGAAAGTCACCCAATGAAATGCTCTTATTGTCACACTCCAGGTCACACAAAAAAAAATCATTGTTCGCATAACCATAGCCTCAAAGGATCTACTTCTCATAGATAAATTTGTTATAGCTTTGTAATATGATATTACAATCAATAAATAAATAATTATTCTACTTTGTAACTTGCTTATTCATGTCTCATTAATCTAATATCTAAAATATTAATTCACTTTAATTCAAATTATATATCTTACTCAAATTATCTAATTCAAATTTCCATGTATACAAAAATTTGACAAAATATTTATACCAAATCTATTTTATATTATATCGAAATTAAATAAAATTATTTTTAGTGTAAATATTATATTTATTTACTAAACATCTTTTTTATTAAATAAATACTTGAATATTATATAAAAAATATATTATCATTATATATATATAAAAGAAAATATCAATATGTATTTTTTAAATGTATAAATATATTTATAAAAATATATACAAATATATTAAACATATAATTATATAACATATTTTTATTATTATATATATTTATATTTATATTTATTATATATAAAATATAAACAAATTTTTTACATATATAAATATGTATATTTATATATTTATTTAATATATATATATATATATATATATATATATATATATATAATAACGGTTACTACAAATATTTATATATTTCTATGGAAAAACTAGAAAATTATAATTTGTATTTCTTAAAAATATTTTATATTAAATAAATACTTCAATATTTTATATATATATATATATATATATATATATATATATTTAATAAAATTATTATGCATAAAAAATGTATTTAGTTAAATATTTAAATATATAATTATATATATATATATTATTATATTATATTATATTATATTTTATTATATTATATTATATATATATTATTTAATAAAGTTATAATGTATATAAAAAAATATAAATATGTATTTACCATGTTTATAAAAATATATACAAACATATTAAATTATAATAAAAATATTTATATATTTTTATATAGAAATATTATTTGTATTTACTAAAATTATTTTACATTCAAAATATACCTTAAATAATATATATATATATATATATATATATATATATATATATATATATATAATTTATTTATGTTATTATGTATATAGAAAGATATAAATATATTTATTAAATATATAAATATACATGTATTTATTATATTTCTAAAATTATAAATAAATATTTAAATATTATATATATATATATTAAATATATTTATATTTACTATATTAATAATATAATTATATAAATATATTTTTATGATATATAAAAAAATATATTTATATTTACTTGATATAATTATATAAATAAATATATAAAATATATAAATATATTTTATATTTATATATTTATTTTATATATATATATATATATATATATTTAATAGTTATATTTATTAAATTTTTTATTTTAAAAAAATTATTAAAATATATGTTAGAATTCGACTTGCGAAATTCTGACTATTTATTAAAAGTGTGCTATACTATTCGGGAAAATTTCATGAACAAGTTTGAATATTTCGATTCAAATAATGTTGCATTAAAAAAACTGAGAAGGATAGATTGAACGGAAGAAAGGAGTAATGTTACCTATATTATACATAATTATTACTTATGTATAATAATGTTACCTATATAATTAATATGTTACCTATATTATTTTAACATTTGCTAGTAAATTTTTATTATTTAAAATAAAAAAGAATGATTAGAAAATTGAGTAATTATGAAATATTTGAAACTCGGGCTACATTTCATGTCATCCGGAAGAAAGATAAAATATCTGTTTTTACTTTGGAGCATGCACGAAGAGAATAGAAAAATCAATTTAAATGTTTATATCAACGCAAAAAAATAAGTTTAAAAAGAATAAAAATTTCTAGTGGGGAATACTCATTGACATTTAATCCAAATATAAGAATTGAGATTTTGGGTTGTAACACACCATAATGAAATGATTGTCCAATGGGACAAAAAACTTTAAAGAGGAAAACGATGAGAAAAGAAGTTTGCAACAATTACATAAACAATTGACTTGATAGGCATAGATGCTACAATTAGATAAACCACTGCATTGAACAAAAGAATTTGAGATAAAAGAAACGAAAAATATAACGATTATACACAAAATTCTAATGAAGAACACACTAAAGATGTTTAAAGATTAGGTAAAAAAAAAAATTTCATCAGTAGTTTAGTTATAAGTCATTAAGATTTAAGTCAGTTTTAATTAGTTAATGTGTTGTTATAAATAAAACTAGTAGTTGTGAAACTAACCATTATAAAATTAATTGTTATGAAACTAGTCATTTTAAAACTATCCATTGTTAAACTAGTTGTTGTAATCATATTGATAAGAAAAAAAAATGAGAGAAATGATATATTAATATTTTATAAAATTGTTTATGATATATTAATAGATAGTAACACTAAAAATTATACTCATCTTTATTGTATGACTCACTTGTTGAATCAAAGGTAAATTTATCTATTCAATCATCATCTTTTATAATTTATAAATAAAAATAGTTAAAAAGTTATTATTTTTTATAAATATTTTTTTTCTTAATTTTTAATTATAGGTATTATAGGGAAGAATAGATTTAAGAGACTCTAAATAAAATTTCACCACATGAGAATGAAGAGATTTTTAAGAATGGGAATTAGTTTTTGAAAAAACTTCTTACAACTAGTGATGATAAAAAAAATATTACACTTGAATATGTCAATTTTTCGTCAAAATTAAGTAGTTTTGTTTCTTTTAACTTAATAGAATATAGGTGGATATTGAATCTCAAATATTGATAGGTGATGCACGATTCTAGTATTTCTCTCCTTCAAAAGCTAGTATTGAAACTTCTTGTACAATCTTACTCGTTATCATGTGAAAGAAATTGGAACACTTAATCATTCATTCACTCATTGAAAATAAATAAGTTAAATCCTAAAAAAATAGAAGACTTGATTTATACACATACTAATTTGCAGCTTTTAACCAGTAAAAATGAAGAATGTAATAAGTGAACTTTAAAATATAAAACATTAATGGAGACACATGAGTTCACTATGTTGAAAACCGTAAAGTTACACTATTATCTCATGAATCAAATATGAAAATTATTTCATTTATAAATGATGCTCAAATAGAAGATAAAATTGATATTATTTCTATTTCTAAATAATAAGAAATGATTTATAATTTTTATTTCATATATATATATATATATATATGATATTTTTAGTAAATAATTTAAATAACACTCGATAATTATATATATATATAAAATATATTATATATATATATATATATATATATATGTAATACATCAATACCGTGTATCATATATTCATTCTTTCAAGTTTTGACAAAAGTGAATGATTTATTATTGTTGGGTAATTCAGGTGTAAGTTAAGTCTCCCGTTGAGTCAATAAGAAACTTAAACATATAAGAAAATATGACCCATAATCTAATGCTTTAAAATTTTGGATTGAGAGTGATATCAATCTTTTATATGGATTAAACTCATGTCTCATTCATATTGTCCTTCCAAAGAATCCCTTTCGAAAAATACAACTAAACCGCCTGCCCCAAGAAAAATTTGACATGAAAATAATTCTTACACGAGTTTTGTTATACAAGAAGATGATATTTGGATAATTACATTATGACATTGAACTATTTTGTGTATGGTACATGACGATTGAATTATCAATCAAGGAATGTTTGAATTCTAAATTAAAATGCTCAACCTGCAGTTCACTATTCTTCGATGCACATGATGAAAACAAGGTCCCGTCCCAATGGAAGCGCCATTCCCAGATCGACATCACATCCCTTACACAAATGAAACTTGGATAGATTGCTACCATATGTCAAACGAATTCCAAAAGGGGGCATGCATTGCCACCAACAAAATCAAGCATGGGTGTAACTGGTAGATTTTGCAACGAGATAAGGAATTACGCATGACAGTGTACAAGTTGATCAAAGTTTTGCCCAGAGAAACTGCAACTTATCCTTGTTTCTGAAGTGATAGGGACAAGCATTTTATGATGATAATATGGCGCTGTTGACCAGGAATAGGCTTTGAAAATGATGAACCCCCCCATCTCTAAGAGTAATTATAATTTCTTCTCCTACCTACACGTATTTCAAACCATGCTATCTACTTACGATACTCAAAAACAAGGCCTTCTGCTACACTTCTAGCTCTTCCATTACCAAATAGCTTGCCCACAATGGCCAACGAAAAATCTGTGACAGTGGCAAGTCCCTCACTAGTGATCAAATTGCCGTCAATAACTACTTTGGCACCATTTATTGCTTCGTCTTTAACCTTGTTTAAGATAGAGGGATGGGCTGTGGCCCTCTTGTCCTGCAACAGCAAGAAAAATTCTCATTTCAATGACACTTTTCAAGAATTGGATCAGGAAACAAGCAGAATGGTACGGTAGGGCAGCTAATACCTTAAGTAAACCTTGTTTATGTAGAATGGAAAGTGAAGAGCAGATCGCCCCATATATTCTTCCAGCCGAATTTTGTTCTTTAAGAAGCTTTTTCAGAATTCTAGATTTGCTTAGTCTTTGAGCACCAGCAGTTCCTCCCTGAAAATGCATGAAGTTCTCAGCAACAAAAAAACAATAAGTGGGGCAAAAACAATAATTTGCGGATAATGAATATCATAAACTAAATAAACTGAGTGGAAGTGCAACTGCAATGCAAAACCGTACAAATTGATGGAACCCCAACAAAGATAATAATAGAATAAGATATGATTGTGCCCACTCATTTTCACCCTATGCTCCGTGCACATCGTATATGATTTTTGTTTGTTGGGGAGAGGGGGTTGTTAGTGATTGTATATGTTTGGAAAGCTTCAAACTAGGGATTGAATTGATTTTGAAATCTTTGCCGTGCTTACTTTGAAATCCACCAAAATTTGGTTGGATTTGAGTCACTTCTTTTAGTTTTATTTAGTGCTTAAATTGATAGTTTAACCTTTAGTTATTTAATCACTCTACCTATTCTAGTTAAGCATGAGTGTTAAGACAAATGAACTCCATTCAATTTTAAGGTGTTCCAAACATATAAATTAATTTATAACGCAATTGAAATCCTATTTTCCACAATGGTTTATAAACACGAGAATCAAATTCCATATCAAATAAAATGTGAATGATCTTAAACACAATAATACAGACTTCTAAGGTCTACTATAGCACCATGAAGAAAATGCAATAACTTGTTTATTTTCAGAATTTTAACTTACTGGAAGAATAATCAGATCATGTGCTGACTCTTGAGCATCCCTAACTAATATATCAGCTACAATTTTCGTTCCTTGAGAAGCCAAAACTTCAAGAGATTTCTCAACTGAAGCAACTATGACATTAGCTTTTGCTCGCCTTAGAATATCTACAACAGTCACTACTTCAATCTCTTCAGAACCATGTGCAATTGGTATGAGGACCTGGGCATCATAATGTATGATTGTATGTGTAAGTGTAAGATCCTAGTTTCAAAAGGATGGGCAGCTGAAGTCTTCCCCAATTATACAGATATGGCGTTAAGTTAGTAATAACTTACACTAGGGGCGTGATGGCCAACAGACCATTCAACATTATTGAACTCCTTCTTAGTTGCATTATCATCATCCGTTCTCATCAACTATTATAAAATAAGAAAGAGTATTGGATCAGGCACAAAACTTAACTGATTAGATAACATACATCAAATATCAGAGAGAACAATAAAGATTTTAATTTTTATAAATGTGATCAAAATATTGGATCCAAATTTAAAAACTTGGATTTCAAGCACATTCACCATTCTGCATTTTTTTCCTGTTCTTCTCACCTACAAATTATAATTTGGCATACCTCTACACAATGTGGGACATGTCCCCTTGCGATAATTTAACATTTCAAACATGTACCTAGCTATTCACGGATAATCTAATAGTAAGTGGCACGAAAGTCCCAATAACAATTGTTTATACTAACAGCCTTAGTGCAGTTACAGCAAACTAGTAAGGACTTTAATTTTACTCGATGCCACACTGTATGCATGCCTAATATTACCTTACTTGGAATTCCCCAGCTCAACTAATTCAATATCAAATAGGCAATACAAGTAAGATATTTGACTATTGAACCTACAAAAAAGTTTGCTAGCGGAGTACCATTGCAATATAGGCTTGCAATTTTAACATGAGAATATTTGGTAATACAGAACAATTGAATCCTATTAAAATGCTCTCTTCATGTGGTCACTAAATTTGTATTTCCCTTTGATTTTTATTGCAGTGTATACTAATTCAAAGTCATGTACCATTACTTCTCACAACAGTATCAGCCAGAAAAGAAAGAAAATAAACAACTGGGTACAAGCACATAATTTAATTACAAAGCTGAAGGAAAAGATTACCAACAATTCTGCAACCTCCCTAGCAACAGACTCCCCAAATAGCTGCTCTGCCAAGGACAAAGCAAACTGGTAAGTAGTTCCAGGCCCCCGGCTGGTTGTAAGTCCTCTGGAAACCTGAAGATTTGATTTAACGGCCCAAAAAGTTGGAAGCTTATCGAAGAACGCAGGGTGACAAGTTATCTTGCATGACAAACTAGAGCATATTAGCCTTATCCAAAAAAAAAAAAAACAACAAAATGAAAATATAGTATAAATAGTGGCATGCAAACTCAATTGTAATGATAATAATACAATTTATTTAAAGAATTTAATTAGAATGCACTAATAGTATAATGTCATTTGTTTATAGATTGGCATGCATGATAAGATTGTTCACTTTCGTTACTTTAAAAATATATCCAAGGTAATTTCTAAGGGCTATAGGTGTAAAAATTATTCACACTGCTAATGTAAAAATTTAAACCTTTCCTTTTTAAATTTCCACATTAACTTAATCTATATATAATGTCTTTGTACAATTATTTTACACAAATAATTCAACGAGTTTGATCATTTTACCACACCATCCTTCCTTTTCATTATTTTGATCGGCTGACAGGATAAATTCTTATTGGATGTCTATGTAAGAATATTTTGTCCCTAGAGTGTACATAGATCGACAAAGTTCTTTCCACTGCAACCTTCATGGATGGAAACCGCCAAACTGATAGGGCAACAACAGCTTTTTTTGGTTTCCACGGTTATTCTTCTTAAGAGAAAGTCCTATTCCAGATTTAGTCAGACACTAAAAGTGATTTCTTTATTTTGTAGGCCTAGCTGAACCCTACAAATACTACAAATCCAGCTTTTAAAGGAAATTTGCAGCAACTTACATCCTCTATAGCTTATATGTTTAGATGATATGATAGCATACAAAAGCATAAGCACACAACTAAAATAAAAAGATGAGAAAAACACCGACAATAGACAAAAGAGTAATTCCACTAATAAAAGAAATTACAATTCTTCTCTCTTTACCTCCAAGGAGGAAACAATAACCCCCTCTCCGGAAAATAAAGGAAAAACAATTCGAAGAGAACCTAAAAGGACAAACTATTTTTCTCTCTTAATTTATCTCTCAAGTACAAAAGCAGCAAGGGAAAGAAAATGAAGTGATTTTGGTACATCTTACAAAGTAAATACTGTGTTCCTTTTATAATAAGAAAAAGAAGCACCAAACTAAGATTTCCCTGATGTGAGACTTTTCTTCTCACAATCCCCTACTTGAAGATTTTGATTAAATTAACCAAATTTTCACACCATACTTGTTTTATTCTTGTCATCCATGTTGTTTATTTTTTCGCTAAGTCATAGTAGGATCAACTCCATACAAACTTGTCAACATTAACTGGTTTTGTCATAACATCTGCTAGGTTCTCATCCGTGTGAATCTTTTGCATATCCACACTTCCTTCCTCCACTACTTCCCGAACAAAATGATATCTTATTCCTATGTGCTTTGTCCTGGAATGAAAGGTTGGATTCCATGCAATGTGCAACGCACTCTGACTGTCACAATACACAACAATTTGTTGTTGCATGTGCCCAAGTTCCTCCATTATTTTCCTAATCCAAATAGCTTCCTTACATGCCAGGGTGACTGCCATGTACTTAGCTTCTGTGATAGACAGAGCTACAACATCTTGTAACTTGGATAACCAACTTACTGCCCCTCCTGCAACAGTAAACACATAACTATGTACTCAGCTTCTGTGATAGACAGAGCTACAACATCTTGTAACTTGGATAACTAACTTACTGCCCCTCCTGCAACTGTAAACACATAACCAATAGTGGATCTCCTTTTATCTCTGATCCTCCATAACATAATACAACACCTGAGGTTCCTTTGATGTATCTAAGGATCCTCTTTATAACAGTCCAATGCTCTCCACCAAGATTTCCCATGAATCTACTAACTACTCCCACTGCTTGTGTAATGTCTGGTCTTGTATAAATCATAGCATACATAAGACCTCCCACTGCTAATGCATACGGTACTCGAGACATTTTCATCCTCTCCGCTTCATTGTTGGGACTCATACTTGATGATAACTTACAATTGATAGGAAGTGGGGTAGAAATTAGCTTGCAATCTTGCATGTTGAAGCGTCGCAAGATTTTCAGTAAGTAATTCTTCTGAGAAAGTCAAACCTTCCTATCTTTTCTGTCTCTGTGAATTTGCATCCCTAAAATCTTGTTTGTTGGTCCCAAGTCCTTCATGTCAAACTCCCTAGCCAATTGTGCCTTTAACTCTTAGATTCGATCTATATTGGGGCCTACTACCAACATGTCATCCATATACAATAACAAGATAACAAAATCATTATCATCAAACCTATTGTAGTATGTACAATGGTCTGAGTTCAGTCTATTGTAACCAAGGCAAATAATGAAGGAATCAAATCTCTTATATCAACATCTGGGCACCTGCATTAGACCGTATAGAGATTTTGTCAACCTGCAAACCAAGTTTTCTTGTTCTTTAAAACCTTCTGGTGAGCATATAAATTTCTTCTTCAAGATCTCCATGAAGAAAAGTAATATTTACATCCAATTGTTTAAGATGTAAATCAAATGCAGCACACATAGCCAAGACAACTCTAATGGACGTCAATCAGACAACCGGCGAGAATATGTCATTGAAATCAATACCTTTTTTCTGAACATATCTCTTTACCACCAATCTAACACGATATCTTTCTACTTGATCATTGTCATCTCTCTTGATTTTTTAGACCCATTTGCAACCAATGGCTCTTCGACCTTTCGAAAGTTCAACAAGATTCCATGTCTTGTTTTTATGAAGAGCCTTCATTTCTTCCTACATTGCAGCCATCCACAGAAAAACATTTGAACAACTCATAGCCTCTTCAAAGGATGAAGGTTCTCCTTCTTCATTTAGAAGACAATACGCATCATGACTTGTCATCACATATTGTGAATGCCAAGATGGTCTAACTTTTTCTCGTGTTGATCGCCAGATATCTCCATTACCAACCTCATTTGGCTCTTCGTGCTCCTCTTCTGACTCAGACGAGTCATCCCAAGACTTCTTCTCTATTTGTATTACAACCATGTCCTTTATCAAGTTGTCATTTGTCTACTCACTTTGTAGTTCATTTTCTACAAAGATTACATCTCTGCTAACAACAACTTTGTGGGAAGTGGGGTCCCACAGGCAATACCCCTTCACATTGTGAGCATTAACCCAAGAAGATACATTTCCTGAATTTTGGATCCAATTTTGTTCTTTCTTGAGTATTGTACATCACGTACACAGGACAACAAAAAACACGTAAGGATGAATAATCAATTGGTTTACCTTTCCATAACTCCATTGGTGTGCTCAAACGAATGGCGATTGACGGTGACCGATTTATAACATAATAGGCAAATTTAACCGCTTATGCCCAAAAAGATTTGGCTACTCCAGCTGTTCGCAACATAGCTCTAATTCTTTCCAGGAGAGTTCTATTCATCCGCTCTGTTATACCATTTTGTTGAGGCGTATGTGGGACACAAATTGTCTGGTGATACCATCTTGCTTGCAAAATGCTAAAAATTCTCCGTCTACATATTCTCCTCCGTTATCTGTCCTCAAGCACTTAATTTTTTTCTCAATTTCAAGTTCTACTTGAGCTTTGAATTCCTTGAACTGTGAAAACACATATGACTTCTTCTTGATAGGGCATACCCACAATCTCCTGGAGTAATCATCGATGAACTATATAAAATATTTTGCTCTTCCGAGGGATAGTATCGGCGATTCCCACATATCAAAATGAATCAAGTCCAATATGTGTTTACTTTTAGCAGTCACTCTAGCAAATTTCAATCTATGTTGCTTACTTATCACACAGTACTCGCAGAATGGTAAACTAACATCTTTAAGCCCGGGTAAGAGATTACGTTCTGCAAGGATTTTCAGACCACGTTCTGACATATGACTAAGTCTATGATGCCACATGATCACTGCATCTTCCTGACTTGTTTCCGTAACTGATGCATCCGCTTCTTTCAACGTATCTCCAAGCAGCACATACAAATTTGTCAAAATCTTCTTTGGCTTCATGACCACCAAACTCCCCTTCACCACCTTCAAGATTCCATTTTCAACATGGATCTTACACCCGAGGTCATCTAATTGCCCAATGGACAATAGATTCTTCTTTAAGTCCTTCACATGTTGTACCCCTTGAATTGTGCGAACAGTACCATCATACATTTTAATTTTGACAGTACCAAATCCAGTTATCTCCAATGAATGGTTGTTTCCCATTAAGATAGATCAACCTGAGAATAGTTCATAAGTGTGAAACCAATCTCGGTGCAGAGTCATGTGCCATGTTGCACCTCAATCCACTATCCACTTGTCATGAAACTCATTTTCACCATTAGAGCTAATTACTGCTTCACTCACTAGAATATCTCCATCTTCCAAAGTACTTACAATATAACCTTATGAGGTTGATTCTTCAAAGTTATTTCCTCCATTCTTCCTCTTCCAACATTTTTTTCTCGTATGTCCTTTCTTGCCACAAAAGTAGCACTTGATTTTAGAACTCTTCTTACTTCGAGACCTCGATCTATCATTACTCGAGTCACGTTCAGTTGATTTTTCTCTCATCATTGTCAAAGCCTCTGCTTATTTGGAACTTCCGTCCTTACTCATCCGCCTGGATTCTTCTTCAAGAATAGCTCCGGCAACATCCTCAAAGTACATATTCCCATCAATATTATTATTTGTAATATCGATGATGAGTTGATCATACGAATCAGGTAAACTCTGAAGTAGAAGTTCTGCGCGCTCATTTTCAACTATGTTGAAATCTGTCGTTGATAGTTGGGCAAATAAGATATTCAAATGGTTGATGTGGTTCGTTACTGATGTGGACTCACTCATCCGAAGAGTATAGAGTTTTCTTTTTAAGAATATTCTTGTGTGAAGTGACTTCATCTCATATACTTTAATAAGGGTATCCCAAATCTCCTTCGCAATAGTCTTCTCCATAACACTGGATAAAATCGAATCTGTCATTGATAAGTGCAAATTTGCAATAGCATTGTCGCTCATTTCTTTCCACTGTCGTTCATCCGTGTGTTCCACGGTTCTTTCCACAATTGCATCAATACAATTGTACTTCCTCAAAATTGCTTTTATCTTCAATTTCTACAATGAGAAATTACTCCCATTGAATTTCTATATCTCATATTTTGTTGTCATGGTTCCAAAACTGACTTATGCAATCTTCACTATGAATAGTATTGCCTACTGGAACAACTACAGTAGACCGTGAACTAGTATACCAGGTAAGTTTCCAGGAAAGAGAAGTGGGTCACTAATGGACACGCTTAAATACCAAGTCTTTTCTTGCCAGAACTTTTCCTAGACATACATTATTACACTACCAAATAATATCCAATAATAAGAATAACTTTTTTCTGATGTGGAAGATCAGATTAACCGCAACCACAGAGCATACTAAGAATTTCTCCAACACTATTCTAATGACTATGCAGCAGAAGACCAATATCACAACCTAGTGGCTCTGATACCACTATTAGGTATCAAACAAAAATATAAACACACAACTAAAATAAAAGGATGAGAAAAACACACCGACAATAGACAAAAGAGTAATTTCACTAATAAAAGAAATTACAACCCTTCTCTCTTTATCTCCAAGGAGGAAACAATAACACCTTCTCCTGAAAATAAAGTAAAAATAACCTGAGAGAACCTAAAAGGAGAAACTATTTTTCTCTTTTAATTTATCTCTCACGTACAGAAGCAGCAAAAGAAAGAAAAGGAAGTGATTTTAGTACATCTTACAAGATATATACTATGCTTCTTTTATAGTAAGAATTATAGTAAGAAAAGGAAGAACCACACTAAAATTTCCCATACGTAGAACTTTTCTTCTCACAATGAGAAATTCCAACAATCTAGTGGGGATTCAAATCTTAGTTCCTCCTGATGCAAGAGACTAACCATTATGCTAGATTCAACCAACATTAGTTTGGCAACAGTAACTTAGAGCCATAGTAACTTAGAGCCATCGCACTAAATATTGATTCTACTAAAATCCAAGTTAAGCAAAGCACCTTTTTTTTCTTCAAAAGGCCCCATGGCAATAGGGTCACAGCAGGAGCAGCACAGATAGCACCGTAGAGCCTGTTTTCCTCAGCTTGTTTGCTCGTAATTTTTTGCAGAACTTTACAATCCCGAAGTCTTGCAGAGCCAGGCATTCCTCCCTGTCACTCACGGTTAATACTACCATCAACCAAACAAGAACTAACACCAATATTAACAGCACTACCAACAGCAGTATGGTTATAGAACTAACGGGTAAAGCAACGAGGTCAAAAACTGCATCGGAACAGGCGGAAATGTCAGTGTCCGCGACCAGTTTGGTGCCTCCGGCGGCCTGGACTTGGAGCTGCGGTTCCACGGAGGCGACGGTGACGTCAGCCCCGGCGCGGCGCAGGACGTGAATCATGATAACGGCCTCCATTTCTTCGGTGCCAAAACCAATGGGAACCAGAACCTTCTTCGTAGGGATTGCATTGGGTGATGTTGTTGGGGGAGAGATTGAAATTGCAGCTTTTGGAGTGAGCGTTCTCCGGCGTGGAGGCGTGACAGTGGCGAAAGGTTTGCGTGCGACGGCGGAGGCGGTGACCGGAGAGAGGGTAGCGGAAGGTTGAGGCAGTAACAGCAACGACATGGATTGGATTGGGGTACTCTTGCTGCAACTCAACTCTTTCTTCGCTCTGATTCGGATTAGATTCGGACCAAAATTTGTGAAGTTTGATTATTTTGTCATAAAATACATCTTTTTTTTATTTTTTTTAGTTTTTATAACATTTAAAATATTTCTTTTAGTTTCTTTATAAAATATGTAAATTTGATTTTATTTATGATAATATTTTTATCCTTTTAAAATTTGTAATTATTAATTTGATTTTTAATATTATATTCCACTAATATATATTACTTAAAATGATTATTTGATTTTTTTCAATTTTATAAAAAAAATAGAATCAATGAAGACCTTTACATGGATTGTAAATATTTATGAACTAAATAAATTATTATGTCACTCAAAACATTTTATATTTTTCTTTTAGTTTCGATAATATCCACTTATATTTCTCTCATGCATTTTACTTTGGAAAATTTTTACTTATTTCACGTTATAAAACTTTAGATAACAGAAGTATAAGAAAAACTTAGATAATATTATTCTTCTATTTAAAGTTGACATTATATCTAATGAATTGAAGAATCATATTAACTAAAATTGATTTTTCTTGGTTCTCTTAAATATTATATAGTTTTTTTTCAATTATATTATACAATAAATGTAAATTTGCTGCTTTCATTTTATTTTTATGATAGATACGTAAATTAATTAAAAGTTAGAAGAGAAAGGGTAAAATTGAAAAAGGTAATTAAAATTACTTGAAAAATAATAATAAGGCAAAAAAAAAATGGAAGTTTAATAAAATAAGAGATAAAGTATGTAAATGTTAACTTTACAAAAACGTAGGTATAATAAACTTTCTTTAATTTATCTTATTTGAGTTTTTAAACTTAGTTACATAAGTTTAACTTCAATATTTTAAAGATAATTAAAAATATTGAAAATGGTACAATAAAAGTTAATTAATTTGAAAATAATAAATAAATATGAACAATAGCTTTCTAAATTTTGACACATGAAAAGTAATAGATAACAAAAAGGATGTTCATGTCTCATATAAATTAATTAAATAAGTAATCTAGGCATGAAATTGACATTTTATCATAAGTGTTTTTTTAAAAAACTAAAAGAAAAAAACTTACAGTGACATTTTAAAAGATTTTGAGTAGAAATTAATTATTCTTTCTTTAATATTTATTCTTATCTCAGATTTTTTTAAAATTTAGATAAAATTTAACTTGAACTTTTAAAATTTAAGTAGAATAAATTAAAAAGGTATAGTAAAAGTTTTAAAGGTTTAAATAATAAAAGTATTGACACTGTTTTACAAATTTTCTGAGTAAATTTTTCCAGGATTTACTTTGCAAAAAAATTTTAAATTCAATTTGATACCAATAATTTCATGAATATATAATTTTGATCTTTTAAATTTGTAATGACATATTTCAATTTCAAAATTATAGTAAGTTATAAATTTGATATTCAATTGGATTTGATAACGTGTTTGTTAATTATTACAGGTGTCACTGGCTGAGACATCTAGGAAAGTAAAAATTATTTAATATAATTACTTTACCTTGTGTTAATAATTTTTTAAATTTATTAAATTAGTGGGTTCATGCAATGCACAACTATTTTTAATTAATTTTAAAATAATATTAGTTTTAAAATTTTCTGAATCTTATTTATTATTTTGACACAATTATTTGTTTTAACGTGAATCATGTTTGAAAAAGAATAAAATAAAAAAAATGTTATAAATGATAATAAGTTTAATTATAGTTTTAATCTTTAAAATTTGTGATAAAATAACTTTTTAATCTCTTAACTAAACAAATAATTTTAATTATAAAATTTAGTAAAATATAATTTTAATCCTTAAATATTAAACTTAAAAAACTAAAAAAAAGGAAAAATAAATAAAATAAAATTCATGTTTACCATGTTTTTACATTTTCACTTTGAAATGTATTAAAATAGTACAGCAATCTCATGTTTAACATGTTTCTTTAATTCATATATATATATATATATTATTTTTAATATTTTTTGAAGCAATTTCATTTTGTTAAGTGAATCATCCATGGTACGCATAATCCAAAACGGACCTTGAAGTTTTGTATTTGCAAAATGAAACATTTCAACAATTGATAATAAATCACCACATATTCAACCCCAACAAATTAAGAGAATAAGAAATAGAAATGAAAAAAAAAAAATTATTAAAATTTTAATATATTAAAAGCCTTGTTCTTATACTGTGAAAAGACGTGGCAAGATTATCCAATGGCGACATGAAAGTGTGTATGTATTTATTATATATAATTGCAGTAACGGAAGCGAGATCCCTGTCATTGGATAAACACGACATAACAGGTGTAGCCAGAGAGAGAGAGAGAGAGGAGTGGCATTATTGATTCGCAGAAGATAAGGGATGTTTGGGTTGATCGGAAGAAAGGCCAATTTGTTGGGAGGATCCGGAAGAAGGTGGTTGAGCTTGGCGGCAACAGCAGCAGCAACAACCACTCCTGATGGTGGGGCCATGGAGCAGTTGCTTGCGCAGCTCCAATCTCATGTTCAGAAGGCTCTTGCTGGTGGAGGACCCGAGGCTGTGAAGAGGAACAGGAGCAGGAACAAATTTCTCCCCCGCGAAAGGATCGATCGCCTTCTTGATCCTGGCTCTTCCTTCCTCGAGCTTTCACAGGTTTTTTCCTTCTTTTTTGTTCCCTCAACTTTTTTTGTGGTTCGTCATTTGAGGAATATTTGTAATTATTGTATTGAATCATGATTATCTGTTAAACTACTTTTAGTGTCCATACTTGTAATTAAACGTGTTCAAATCCTGTATTTTTTATTGACGAATTTGGCAATGAACATGGCTTTGATTGAAGAACATAGGATTTTTCTCCTTCTCCTTGAATTTATCAAAAAAAAAAAAGTTAGAAGAGATTTATTTAAAATTTGGAATCAAATTCATCACGGCCACTTATCGGGAGTTTACAAACAACTCCTAGACTCTCTTGACTTTAGACATTAATTTGAGGAACTATTACTATTATTTTGAGGAACTATTACTATTATTTATTTAATAATTACAATTGAAAGCTTTTGATTTTAGTGAATATGACTAATTTTATTTTAATTCTTTAATTTTTTTTTCAGTTTTAGTTCGCATTATTTAAAAAAAAATTATCATTATTTAATAATAATTATATCAAATATAAAGATTAAAATTATATTTTGTTACCGCAGGTAGTATGTTTGGTATTAAACTAAAAATGAATTTTTGTATTAAAAAGAATAGTCTTTAACTATTCATTGAGAGGGGAAAAAACGAATTTTCTTTTTAAAAGATTAAAACTAAGATTGGTCGTGTATTAAAAACTATTTAATCGTAATAGTTATTATGTCTTCTGCTTTTTGTTTTTCATTTCTCTTTTTCTTACCCATCACATTCTTGATTTCTGTGTTCTTCCCTTAATGATCATTTGCCTTATCCATTTGTATTTGTTGAAAGGTGGTTAGTTGAAAATCGCAAGCATATTTTGTGATTGGAATTGATAATTTGATAGGTTAAGGATTCTAAATGGGTGGTAGTTATGAGAAATGGGTTTGACAAGGAAAGTGTCTAACTTTTCAGTGATAAAGCTTGCAGGACACGACTTGTATGAAGAGCCCTTGCCTTCTGGAGGGGTTGTTACTGGGATAGGTCCCGTGCATGGGCGACTGTGTATGTTTGTCGCCAATGACCCCACTGTTAAGGGAGGGACTTATTATCCTATTACTGTTAAGAAGCACCTCAGGGCACAGGAGATTGCTGCTCAGTGCAAACTGCCCTGTGTATATCTTGTTGACAGTGGAGGAGCTTTTCTTCCCAAGCAAGCTGAAGTGTTTCCAGACAGAGAAAACTTTGGTAGAATATTCTACAATCAGGCTGTAATGTCTGCTGAAGGAATTCCTCAAATTGCATTGGTGTTGGGTTCTTGCACTGCTGGTGGGGCTTATATACCTGCAATGGCGGATGAGAGTGTGATGGTCAAGGGTAATGGCACCATTTTTTTAGCAGGGCCACCTCTTGTTAAGGTCTGCTCTAGCTACTGGTGCTCCAAAATACTTTGTTTGATAATCTCTTGCTATTTCTTTGTTATTTACTTTTAGAGTCTGTATTTTTTAAATTTTAAAATTTGAGGGTAGATATGCTTTTAATCCTTGAAAAGATTACTGATTTTGATTATAGTCTCTATAAAAGTTTAGTTCATTTTTAGTTCTTCCATTTTAAATTTTTAGTTCATACTGACGGGTGAGAGACTAAAACCATATCAATTTTGATAAATGTTGGGTTGAAGTGAATAAAAATTTACAGGACTGAAACCAAAACTTGTGATATTTTCAATCATCAGAACATATTTAACCCCTAAAATTTAACTGTGCCCATGTTTGTGTTAATGTATGTGTTTATGACCAAAATTAACCTTGAATGAATTTGCAGGCTGCCACTGGAGAAGAAGTCTCAGCAGAAGATTTAGGAGGTGCTACTGTGCACTGCAAGACATCGGGTGTTTCTGATTATTTTGCTCAAGGTATTTGCTATGGCTACTTTCTCTTGCACACATCTGAGTGTATACAAAATGCTATAACTAATCACTTAACTTAGTTCCTATTAGTGACTTTGTACATGTTTTGTTTCTTGTAGATGAACTCCATGCACTTTCGCTTGGGAGAAATATAATTAAGAATTTACATATGGCTGGGAAAGATGTCTTGGCAAATGGATTGCAAAATATAAACAATGAATATAAAGAGCCATTATATGACGTCAATGAACTTCGTTCTATTGCTCCCACTGATCTTAAAAAGCAGTTTGATATCCGATCAGTTATTGATCGCATTGTTGATGGAAGTGAATTTGATGAATTCAAGAAATTGTATGGCACTGTGAGGACATATCCACTTTTACTTTTTAATCAGTTTAACCTTAATCTTAGTATGCATGGGTTGCTTTTGAACTGCCTTATTTTCTC